AAGCATAACACCATCCAAAAATTGGAGCCAAAATAATAAATTAAAAATTCACAGAATTTTTATTTTATTTTATTTCAAAGAAACATGAACGAGTAATCAACATGAGGAATTTTTTGCACCTTCAGTGATAAGCAAATAAATATACATCAAAACAAGTCATCACTTTAAGCTACCAACAAAGACTGACTGAAGCCTATTCCATACTGGAAGGCTGTACAATACTATTGAATAATGCCCACCAGAGTAGACAATGATATTATCTCTTTGAAAAGCTTACAAAATGTGTCAAGTTCTAAAAATATACTCATATTATTTAACTCAGTAATTAAAATTTCTGACTCCCAGCCTGAGAAAATAATCAGAAAATATTAAATGGTTATGTGTATAATTGAAGGCAGCAGGAGAAGGGGACGACAGAGGATGAGATGGTTGGATGGCATCACCAACTCAATGGACATGAATTTGGGTAAACTCTGGGAGTTGATGATGGACAGGGAGGCCTGGCATGGTGCAGTCCATAGCGTTGCAGAGTTGGACACAACTGAGCAACTAAACTAAACAGATGTGTATCATATATGTTGACCAAAGTAAAAACAATTGAAATATTCAAAAGAACAGTTCATTAAATTTTGGTAAAACTATAATAAAATATTTCTACCTGTTAAATTATGGTTTCAAAGAATTTTTAATAACATAAGCAAATGTTCAGAATATACATGTTACGAGATAAAGGTTTAAAAAATAACAAGACTGAGAAGTAATATAATACATACAGAGCGCTTAGGGGCTAGGCATTATTACACATGTTAATTCATTTTATCTTCAAAACAACTAGTGGGTTAGTTAATATTATTATCCTCATTTTACAGGCAGGGAAACAAAGGTGCACAAAAGATTAAATGATTTCCCCTAGAACCACAACCAGTAGGTGACAAAGCCAGGACTTGAACCTAGCAATCTGATGTCAAGAGTGGCTGCTCTTACAATCTCGACACAAGTGTTCAAGAGCAACCAACTCAAAGCAAGATCCTTCTATGACCCACCTCCTAGAGTAATGGAAACAAAAACAAAAATAAACAAGTGGGACCTAAATAAACTTAAGAGCTTTTGCACAACAAAGGAAGCTATAAGCAAGGTGAAAAGACAATGTTCAGAGTGGGAGAAAATTATAGCAAATGAAACAACTGACAAAGAATTAATTTCCAAAACATATAAGCAGCTTATACAAGTCAAAACCAGAAAAACAAACAACCCAATCAAAAAGTGGGAAAAGATCTAAACAGAGATTTCTCCAAAGAAGACATACAGATGGCCAGCCAACACATGAACAGACGCTCAACATCACTTATTATTTCCCCTGGTAGCTCAGATGGTAAGGAATCTGCCTGCAAGGCGGGAAATCCAGGTTTGATCCCTAGACTGGAAAATCTCCTGGAGGAGGGAATGGCAACCTACTCCAGTATTCTTGCCTAGAGAATTCCACAGACTGAGGGGCCTGGTGGGCTACAGTCCACGGGGTCACAAAGAGTCAGACACGACTAAGTGATTACTAGAGAAATTCAAATCAAAACTACAATGAGATATCACCTCACACTGGTCAGAATGGCCATCATCAAGAAGTCTACAAACAATAAATGCTGCAGAAGGTGTGGAGAAAAGGGAACCCTCTTGCACTGTTGGTGGGAATGTAAATGGATATAGCCACTGTGGAAGACGGTGTGGAGCTTTCTTAGAAAAACTAGAAATAAAACCACCATGCTTCTAAGCTGCTGCTAAGTCACTTCAGTCGTGTCCGACTCCATGCGACCCCATAGATGGCAGCCCACCAGGCTCCACCATATGATGCAATCTCACTCCTAGGCATATACCCTGAGGAAAACAAAATTGAAAAAAGACACATGTACCCCAGTGTTCACTGCAGCACTATTTACAATAGCTAGAACATGGAAGCAACCTAGATGTCCATCAACAGGTGAATGGATAAAGCAGCTGTGGGGTGTGTGTGTGGGGTGTGGGGTGGGGATAATGGAATATTGCTCAGCCATAAAAAGGAATGCTATTGAGTCAGTTCTAATGAGGCGGATGAAACTAGAGCCTATTATACAAAGTGAAGTAAGTCAAAAAGAGAAAGATAAATATAATTTACTAACGTATATATATGGAATCTAGAAAGATGGTACCGATGAATTTATTTGTAGGGCAGCAATGGAGAAACAGACATAGAAAACAGGCTTATAGACATGGGGCAGGGGAGTGGGGGGAGAGGGTGGGATGTATGGAGAGTGACATGGAAACTTTCATTACCACATGTAAATAGACAGCCAATGGGAATTCGCCGTATGATGCAGGGAACTCACACAGGGGCTCTGTGTCAACTGAGTGGGGAGGGGGAGGAGGGAGACGGGAGGGAGGTTCAAGAGGGAGGGGGCTGATTCATGTTGATGTTCAGCAGAGAACAACAAAATTCTGTAAAGCAATTATCCTTCAATTAAAAAAACAAAAAAAACAGTGCTGCTCTTAGCCAGTACATAACATACACCTCACAGCATGTATGGCAGAATGGGATGATGCGTGGAAAGAGGAGGCAAGGATGACCCAGAGGAAGGGAAAAAACAAAACCTTAATGGAGGCTGTACATGGTCTGGAGAACTGGAGGGGAGTTGTTTTAAGATTTTTAGATCTTCCAATTTTTCCACATCTGTGCTAAGTCGTGTCAGACTCTTTGCAACCCTGTGGACTGTAGCCCACCAGGCTCTTCTGTCCATGGGGAGTCTCCAGGCATGAATACTGGAGTGGGTTGCCAGGCCCTCCTCCAGGGGATCATGACTCAGGGATCAAACCCACATCTCTTATGTCTCCTGCATTGGCAGGCAGCTTCTTTGCAACTAGTACCACCTGGGAAGTCCAATTTTTCTATAGCAAGTATGTATTAACTTTTATACACAAAAAATAAATGAAAATTACTTTAAAAGTGAAAAAAGATGACCCAGAACTACAATGACCCATAGAGATGGGGTAGGGAGGGAGGTGGGAGTGGGGTTCAGGATGGGGAACACATATAAATTCATGGCTGATTCATATCAATGTATGGCAAAAACCACGACAATATTGTAAAGTAATTAGCCTCCAACTAATATAAATAAATGAAAAAAAAAGAAAAAAGAACATAAAGGGCGTGTTTCAAAATACACATGGGGGCTTCCCTGGTGGTCCAGAGGGTAAGACTCCACCTTGCAGTAAGCACAAGGGACACGGGTTCCAGCCCTGGTAGGGGAAGATTCCGCATGCTCTGCAGCAGCTAAGCCCGTGGCCACACTGCTGAGCTAGCACCCTAACGCCTGCAAGTCGCAACTCCTGAGCCTGTGCACTGCAACTGCAGAAGCCATGCACCCGGAGCTTGCGCTCCACGACAAGAGCAGTCAGCAATGAGAAGCCCAGGCTCCAAGACAAGAGCAGTCCTTGCTCGCTGCAACTCGAGAAGCCCAAGTGCAGCAACAAAGATGGTCCAACATATAAAAAATAGAAAGCCCAAAGATAAAATAAATAAATAAACAAATCCGGTTTTTTTTACATCTACATGAATTGACCAACAGATGAAGTTTCAAGAATTACCTTTTCCAAAGAAAAGAAATAAAAATAAGATTACTTAAAGGAGAGAGCAAGACAGAAAGAGGTGAGAAGCAAAGCATACTGTGTTCAGGAGTTGAGTTAGATGGAGTCCAAGACGGAAGGCTGAGATGAATCAATAAGCTAATGCAAAAGTTAAAAACAAACTAGAAAGGTCTGAAAAGAGGAGGTACAGTAATCTCGTTATAACAAGCAAGAACAGTAATTTCAAGATTTTTGAAAAGTAGGAAGTATCCTTTTTTCTACAACATTATACAGTAATATTAGCAGAAATAGGAATACTATCGCTAAATGAGTTTCTTTCCTATTTTTATTTTACAGGAAAAACATCCAACAGCAGACCTTTTATCAGTTACTTTCCCAGATTACTGAAAATCAAAATCTGTAAATCCCACAGCTTCTGCTACTACATGAGAAAGTCTGGATACCTGCAAACTTACCAGTGCGCAGAAGAGTCTTTAAGCTTTTTGAGTTAATAGACAAGTTTTACAATCATGTGTAAAATGATATATAAAGAGTTAGTGGGTAATTGTAATAATATGGCTTTAGCATATACTATTTCATAAATAACAAACCTAAAATTGAAAAGGTCAGTACAATCAGGTGGAAAATGATCAGTTACTACTCCAAAATGAAAAATAATAAATCTTAGTGTAGAACATGACTTAATCTACTCAAAATAAGTTGATTTCTTTCTAATTTTGAATCTAAATGCAACAGGAATCATATGCAGATAAAATACAAGATTATTTCTCTTCTTCAGATAAATCTGAAAATTAAGAATTCAAACATTTTGAAAAAATAGTGGGAAAAAAAGCCGACCAATTTTTCACAAATTTTTGGTTTTATAAAAAGCAAAGCCTGTAAGCTTCCTAATTAGACTGATTTTCAATCATAACTATACTTTGTTATTTTCTGATTGCAAAAGTGATGCATGTTTACTATAGAAAATTTGTCAGATATGGAAAAATGAAAAAAAAAACCAATTACCTATAATCCCAGCCCCAGAGATAATCACTGTTCACATCTTAGTATATTCAGCCTTTTTAATAAACATATCATTTGTTATTATTATTACCTATACTCAACTGAGTTCAGTCACTTTAGTAATATTTCATGGTACTTTCCCAAGTCATTAAATATTCTTTCAAAACATACTTTTTAACGACTACATGGTATCCCTTTATATACACATATCAATCTCTTGATCAGCTATCCATCACCCTGAAGCATGAAGGACAGAAATACCGGGAATTCATTTCCTTATTAATGAAATCTGGTAGTACTATCACCTTTCAGACTGCATGGAAGTTATCTGTTTGAGAAGATAATCCAAATCGTAAAGATAAATTTAAAAACAAACAAAAACATACCAACTATACTATCAAAAAAAGCTCCACGGAGATGCCAATCATTTTTATCATTCAGGAAAGTGATCATGTGGGACAACAAAACATCATTGGCTTTCTGACGTCCAAAGAATACACACAACCGTGTTATCCCATTTTCCATTAAGGTTTGTTTCACGATATTTTCAGGGTCACTGAGCAAAGTGACAACTTTCTGTTGGACCATTTCATGTAAGGCTTGGAGCTCTAAAAAAAGAAAAAAGAAAAACGTGATCAATTTTCTTTCCTCCAAACATACAGACCCAGTCTTTCTCACTCCTTGGAGGAAACAGAATGATTACAGAAGCCACCACAGAAAACCTACAATCACTAAGTTTTTCCACTACTCAAAGCTTTGAAGGATAGCTGGGAAAATGAAACATAGATTGAAAAACATCGTAATAAGCAGATGCTATAAGCATGGTTACTATCTCACTATTTACTAGCTCTATTTATGAGGCTCAAAGAAAAAAAAGGTTTAGATTCCTTAGCTATGGTGTTGTCAATGCTTTTTCCTTTATCCTATAATTATTTTATAATTCAGCAATCTTTGCTGTTGACACAAGTCAATTCTGGCTGAAAAACTACTGAGCTGAGAATCTGTGGTGACAGGTTGTCATTTTCTGGCTAGATAACAATGCAAAAGAATGACTAGAAGAGAACAGTCAAACAATAGGAATCCTTCCCTCTATACATCTGGTATTCTTTCATTTTACATTAGAATTATAAAAGAGAGTTTGCTGCAAGTTCACATTCTAAGTAACAGCAATTCGTTATAAATTAACAGAAAATTCAGAAGAGAAAAATCACACTACCTGTGTCATAGTTTCCATTGGGGTGTGTGACGTCATCTGCTTCTTCACTATTGGGGTCATTTTCCATATTGAGATTTTTCAGCTGTACTAACTCCAGGAATCTCAAAGCTGTCTCGGCCAGCAGAGCTATGTTCTCTATAAAAGGGGAAATTTATAGCGATTATAATCATAAGTCTGTATAACGCTCATAACGTACCTTCCTGAATCTTAATACATAAAATAATGAATCATGAAACTAAAGAAAAGCAGGACTTTCCAAGTTAGCGCTTAACCTAATCTGACTTGTAGTGACTGATCTCATAATCTACAACTCTACCTAAACTACCAGTTTTAATAAAACATAAACTTCTTTTAAAAATACAGAAATGTATAGCATGATAACTACAGTTAACATTGCTATATGGTATATATGAAAGTTACTGGAGTAAATCCTAAGAGTTCTCATTACAAGGAAAAACATTTTTTTTCATTGCTTTTTATTATATCTTTGTGAGACGATGGGTGCTAACTAAAGTTACTACAGTAATCACTTTACAATATATATAAATCAGGCCATTATCCTGTTCATCTTAAAACTATATAGTGATGTATGTCAATTACATCTCAGTAAAACTGGAAAAAATACCAAATAACCAAAATATAGCCCTCAAATCATTTGAAGCAAAAAAAAAGCTTAATTCTTCCACAAAGACTTATCTCTTCAACAGCATCATGCTGAGTAAGAGACACGCAGCAGGCCACCAGAGAAACACATTTCACATTAAATTAAAAAGCCGACCTTTAGGGTCACCCAGAGCCTAGCTCAGATCTCGACCCCGACACTTAGAGCTGACTGCTCAGCCAATCTGAGTCTCAGTTTCCTCACACATAACTGAGTCAGGACTCCCTCAGAGGCCCACAAGCATCAACTCTTAAGGGACTGCTTTACAGTGACCCCAGGGATCCTGTGAACCAGTGGGACGCTGTCTGCCACGCCCCTGCAGTGGCCCGCCTCCTCTCCTTTCTCGCTGATCCTCTAAGACTACTCCCCCCTCCTCGCCGCTGTGAGAACATCTGCTCCGTAGTGCTGCTGCCACACCTGCTGCTGACTATCTGCTCTGGGCTTCCATTCCTCCTCCTCCTCCCATCTTTATGTATTCCGGCCTCTCTCCTTCCCCTCTCACTTCCAGGCTTTATATGTAACCACACCCTCAGAGACATACTTTCTCTTCTCAGCAGTCAGTGGCACTGAACATGAACTACTTTCTATTCATTCTAAGAGTCACTTTTTCTTCACTTTTTAACATCTCTGAAATAGAGATGCATCCCACCATAACTGACGTTTTTTAGTCTATCAAATACAGTGATTCCCTTCATCATGGAGTCCCACCCCCTAGGCTTGCTAGGTTCAACACTTTTCTGAATAGAACAAAAATGTACCTTTAAGCAAACAAGTTATTGATACCTTGCAGCACCTACTCACCCTAAACACAGGCGAATTCTATACCATTCTCTGATGATTCCAGATGAATACTCCCACTTTAATGAAAATATCTTTATTAGGAAAAGTCTCTTCTTTTCCTGGGCACCTCTCAAGTCTGAATAGATCTATTACTTATCTCCCCATTTATGCTCATAAACCACAGCACACTTGCCAGTTCACTTTACACAAGATACAAATCTATAGCAGCATCTCTTGAGTTTAGAAACACTATGAAAAAGAAAATTTTAATTGATTTTTAAACATTTATCATTATTGACACGTGTGGTTTAATGACACTTAGCCATACAAGTTCAAAGAGACTTCTGACTCTATGCAGAAACACAGCCTTCTCATGCTTACGCCACGGCTCACCATGGCTGGGTGGCACGGGGCACTGCAAGGTCCTGGCACTGACCCTGGGTCACCACGGCCTCTCACCCTGAGACCAGCGGACAGATAAAAGCAGGGTGCCTCACAGTCAAGGTCCACACCCACAGCTCTGGGAACTGAAAAAGAACCAGGCCTGGTACACTCTGGTGGTATACCTCAGCTTCTCCCCGCCCCAACTCCTCAGCTGGGAAATGAAGACACTCTAATACCTACTGCTCAAGACTGGGGTGTCAGCTTCAACAGCTAGACAGACCTTAAAATCTTAGAATCCAGAACCTAGAACCTGGAGCCTATTACACAGAGTGAAGTAAGTCAGAGAGAGAAAGACAAACACTGTATATTAATGCAGACACATATGGAATTTAGAAAGACAGTACCAATAGATGATTAGAGAGAACAGCACTGAAACATACGCATTACCAACTGTGAAACAGATGACAAGTGCAAGTCCAATGCATGAAGCAGGACACCCAAAGCGGGTGCTCTGGGACAACCCAGAGGGATAAGGTGGGGAGGAAGGTGGGAGGGAGGCTCAGGATGGGGCAGACGCACGTATACCTGTGGCTGATACATGCTGATGTATGGCAGAGGCCATCACAATATTGTAAAGGAATTATTCTTCAGTTAAATTAATTAATTAAAAAAAATTAAGAATCCAGAACCCATTTCAGAATCGCTGTATCTTATACAATTAACCCTTGCAACCACGAGCAGTACATGCCCTTACACAAAGCAGATTTTTCAATAAACAGTCGCTACTGTTTTTATGCTATGACTGCTAGTAAATGAATGTAAATATGATATATTAATATAATACCTACACATCAGAATCTTACCTATTCACTACAACTGAGAAAAGACTGACACACTCAGCCAAAAGTAGCTCGTAACAGTCTAAAAAACACAGCCTGTTTTTAAAAACCATAGGCTTTTCTTTAATTTTATTCAGTACAATTAAGTTGATCCTTGCACAACATCTGAATTTTTCTCAATAATAAACTGAAATATTAATATTAAGTAATATTAAATATTATATATTTATATTACGAAATTATGTTAATAAATAACTCAACATTAAATTAAATTATAGCATCACACAATCCATGGCTGGCTGAAATCCACAGATGCAGAACCATGGGCAGAGGGCCAACTATAAATTATAAGAGGATTTTCAACCGTGTGGAGGGTCAGTATCCCTAAGCCCTATGTTGTTCAAGGGTCAACTGTATTTCTCTTTACCAAGTGAATTATAAACACGCTTTGCTCCAAAATAAACCTGGATATGTCTTAAAAGAAATTCTGAATTTCCTAAGCCTAAAATTTACACCTATACAGCTATGGAAATCAGAAACCATAAATAGGCAGATGGACAAATATTTTTTAAAAAGCCAACAAGCACCAATCACTATGTGGATGTGTGTAGCCATAAAGACAGAGTCCAAAGATCATTTCTCACATTCTATGAAAATAACGAGTAAATCATAAAATAATGAACTGATAATAATAAATAATAATACACTAATAATAATCTTTCAAAAAAAGAGACATTATCATCACCACACATATGTCACATACTTTTTACAAAGACTTCAGAATTCCTGATTTCCATCAGATTATACCTTAGAAATAAATCATGGAATTATGTGAATATTTCAATGACATTTTCCATGCAGAAATAAGCATTCAAAATTAATTTAGGGAGCTAAAAATAAAAATCTGTATCACTTGATTTTATGAGTGAGAATTATTTACAAAAACAGGTAGATGTGTTAATGTAACACACCCACTTCACCACAAAGAAGTCACATTTCTAAGCATCATAGTAACTGAGTGAGTGAAGTCGCTCAGTTGTGTCTGACTCTTTGTGACCCCACAGACTGTAGCCTACCAGGTTCCTCCATCCATGGGATTTTCCAGGCAAGAATACTGGAATGGGTTGCCATTTCCTTCTCCAGGAGATCTTCCCAACCCAGGGATTGAACGCGGGTCTCCCACATTGCAGGCAGACGCTTTACCGTCTGAGCACCAGGGAAACTGAAAGAACCTTCAAATTCAGTAACCTATAACAGGCTAGATCCTTTCAACACCAAACTACCCAGCAAAATTAACCTTTTTCAACAGCAACAGACTGTAATAACCTAATACTAATATTCAAGCAAACATATCTGTTCAGCAAAACTTTAGAAAGGCCCAAAGACACTAGATCAGAAGCACATAGTTGCAAACATCTTACTCCACATTAAATATAATATTTCCAGTAAAGTCATAAAATTCTGTGCTATATATTTTTCACTTAACAACTGATCATTTCAAATAATGAGAGCACACACAAAGCTTGAGTTTCATGAACAGATCAGCTATAAATATTACCAAGATGTACACAAATAATTCAAGGACCAAAGTTCAAGGTTATCTTTCAAATTTCCAAAAATATCAGAGAAACAACAGGTATTACGGTCAGTTACTAACTTCAGGATGTCAGTGGTCATTTACTGCAACAATAAGCTCTTACCAGCGTAGGCTAGCCTGACAATTGTGGCGTCATCCTGGGCCAAGTGGGCTATGCCTGGCAGGATGTACTCTGGGTAAATGTTGACATCATTGCGAGGAACCTCCTTCACAAGAGCAAGAACTTTAGTCAACGTCCTCAAGGCTTCGGCCCTTACTCTGGGAACAGAGTCATTGCTGAAATGCAAAAGATAAGGAGTAATACGATCCAAAAGAATTTCTACACTTAATCTTGGGGCCAGATGGAGAATAAGTTCCAAAGCGGCAAGCTTGGAGTCGCAGTATTTCAGGGTCTGCAGGCAGGACGTTATAACTGACACCAAGATCACCAGCCCATTCTCCTTGGGCTCTCCGTCTGCTTTCTCCAGCAGATCGTGTCCACAGAGATTGTGAATAATGTTGTCCAAATCCTTCCTTATAACCAGAATACGCTCATCTGCTGAAAGAAATGTTTCTTTGGCAAACTGGGCCATATAGGGCTGAAGAAAAGTGTAGAATATTTCAGGAAAGGCATTGCCACGTTGCTGTTTTAAGTAATCTTCTGCCTCTAAACGCTTATCTGGTTCACGGTGAATCATCTGAGTTACCTACACCAAGGGGAGAATGGGAGTAAAACACACATTTAAGAAAAGCAAATTAAATCAGACCAAAGCTAGAACAGCAACTTACACGTGACTTAAAGGGATTCTGAGGTAATACTGACTCTTTCCAATCTTCACCTTTCAAACTACTTTCAGAACCTGACTACTGAGTAAAATGTGACTCTACTATCATCCTATAAAGCAAGAGGAAATCACGGAGTAATGTACTCTAGATGGTCCAGACACATAAAGAGGATCAAGTCTTAAAAAGTAGTCGAATTCATTCCTTTTACAGCTAAGAAAAGGTAGGCCCAAACTCATAAAGTTACTTAGCCAACAGAACATGATAATGAGCGCCACACCGAGGACAGACAGGTATGCCAGCTCCTAAATCAAGTGTACTGTTCACTGGACGTGAGCTACACTGGCTTCCTCTGAAGCATCTTACTTTTTAATATTTGCCACTTTTAAAAGAAATCAAAATGCATGTTTCCCTACCTTACTAAAGAATGTTTTAAAGACACCATATAACCTTTCAATGGCTCAGACCCATCATCAGATGCATCAGTTACTGTAGTAAATGCTGTAAAAAAAAAAATCCCCTCAAACAGCAGTGTGGATATACGTCTGAGGTGACCTCCCAGAATTCCTCACATCTGATCTGCTATACTAACGGGTGATTCAACAGCCCCCCTGCCAGACCTGCCCTCAGAGTCAAGGGAGGTCTACAAAGCTAGCTGCTTCTATATGAAATGCCCTGCTATTGCTGCATTACACTCAAGCTGATTCTCCTGTCTCCTCATTTTAGATATTTATCCCCTTCATTACCTACCAGCAAGCTCTATCTGGACAACGTAATGCCCAAGCACCTCCTTATTTCCTTCCAAATCTGTCCAAAGCAGAGTTAGGATTTTAATGGAAAGATGTGTGTGTATGCGTGTGTGTTTGTGATATACAATCAAATGAGCTCTGTGTCTAAGAAGGGGGAAGAATTATACATTTCTGCCTAACAAACTAAAAACGATAGAAGGCTTATATTAGTCTATGGGGCTTTATTGCTTGTCACAAATTCAGAATGTTCCAGAGAACTAATATAAAAGGAAGACTATAATTCTATTTAAAACATTACGGTAAATATTTGCAGCATAGTTACCAGTTCTCTGATACTGCGATCTTCGATTTTACTCAGCACCTGTTCAGGGAAAAACTGCCCATTTCTATAGGCCAAAAGTTGAGAGAGATCAAACAGAGGCACGCCTTCCGTAAAGAGCTCAGCAATCACACAACCTGGAAAACAGCAGGGAATAATTCCATTAAAAATGAAATGCAAGAGATCATTAATACAAATCAAGAACTCAGAGAATTCATGAAACTCAAGGTACAAAACTTCTTTAATGTAACATACAACTACAATCAAGCAAGGCAGAAAAAAATGACTACTGCCCAATCATCAGTTTCCAAAAGTAGGAAGTCAAAAAAGGCCTACTTAATTCTTCTCCTTCTTAGAAAAATTAAATATAATTACTTCCTTGTTCAATAATTTAAAACAAATGTACTACACATACTTTATATATACACACGTATTAGGAGAGACAAGGACAGATTGAAAGTCATAATACAGTGTTTCTATTATGATTTTATACACATTAAGTTCATAAGAAGCTACTGAGAAGTCTTATCTGACAACTCATTTACTAACCATTAAACAAAAAGTTATCAGGTGCCTACCACACGCTAGACTTTAACAGTGCATGAAACAGATAAAATCCCTGCCCTCATGAAGCTCTTATTCTAGAAGAGAGAAAGTAAACCAGCAAACACACACAATTATAAAATGGGAAGTGCTAAGAAGTGTGGTTGTAAGATTAAAGGGGGAAAAAAGAGATACCCTTCGTTGTGCACTTACATAATCTTCCAACAAGAAATGTACCTACATTCCCAAAAAGACAAAGCCGCCTCACTGAAACATCACGACACACATTTAACAAGTTTTAAGGAGACTGCTGAACAACCTGAGTCACAGCCTTGCACCTGCCAGTCCCTCTGCCTGGGATGCAACTCCATCGACAATCTTCACGGCTTATACCTAAACCTCTTTCAGATGTTGAATCAAATGTCATCTTAGCAATATGGCATTTCTTGACTGCCCAGTTTAAAACTGCAAGACCCCTAACACAACTACCCCACACTCAACACCTAGCACAATCCCCTTTCCCTGCTGTTTTTCCCCACAGCACCAAATACCACATTTTATATTTTATGCATTTATTTCTTTACTGTCCACATACCCACTAGAATACAAACTCCATAGGGATTTTTGTCTATTTTGTTCACTAAAAGATCTCTAGCAACTAAGACAGTTCCTGATATATAATAAACATTCAATAAATTTCTTAATTTCTATCCATATAGTATCAAGTTTTATAATAAAAAACTAAAAATAGTTATTAAGAACACCAAAGCAAAAAGCAAACAGAAGAACTGAACAATACTATACACTAGATCTAATGGATATCAAAGAACACTCACTCCATCTAACAGAATACAAAATTCTTCTCAAGTACATTTGGCACACTCTCCAGATAAAACCATATGCTAGACCATAAAACAAGCTTCAGTGAGTTTTAAAGGACTGAAATCATAGAAATTATGTCCTTCAAACCACAATGGAATGGAATAAATCAGTAACAGAAGAAAAATCTGAAAAATTCACAAATATGTAGAATTAAACAACACATTCATAAATAACCAATGACCAAAGAAAACTTACAAAATACTTTGAGATAAACGAAAATGAAAGCAATATACAAAAATGTATGGGATGCACTAAAGCAGCATTTGGAGAAAATGTAAACTATAAACACCTATCTTGTAAAAGAGAAGCTCAAAACAATAACCTAATCTTAACCTTGAGAAACAAACTGAAACCAAAGGAAAAAGAAGAAAAGGAAAACCAGAAATTGGGGAGAAAATTTATGCAATAGGGTATAAAATACACTAGAGACCATTAACAAAACCAAAGGCTCGTGCATTGAAAAGCTCAACACAACTGACAAACGTTTACTGATATGACTCAAACTACTAAAATCAGACAGGAAAAAGGGGACATTACTACCAACCTCACAGAAATAAAAAGAATTTTAGGGGAATAATGGAAACAAATGTGTGCCTGCCAAAAATTAGACAAACTAAATCAAATTCACAGATCCCTAAAAAGATAAAGATTACCAAAGGTGACTTAAAAGAAAATCTGAATAGACCTTGTAAAGTGATGCAATTAGTAATTAAAAACCTCCCACAAAGAAAAACCTAAGCCAACTAAATAAGTGAATTCTGCCGAACATTAAAATAATTAACAGCCATCCTTGACAAATTCTAACAAAACACAGAGGAGAAGGAACACTTTCCAAGTTATTCCATGAGGCCAATCTTACCCTAGTAGCAAACTAGACAAAAGCATCATAATTAAAGAAAACTATACATTAATATCCCTGATATAAAAATCCTCCAAAGAATATCAGGAAACTGCAGGTAGGAATTGAAGAGTCCATAGCAGTAGTAGTGAAGTCACTCAGTCATGTCCGACTCTTTTGTGATCCCATGGACTGTAGCTCACCAGGCTCCTCCATCCATGGGATTTTCCAGGCAAGCTTACAGGAGTGGGTTGCCATTTCCTTCTCCAGAAGAGTCCATACCAATAATAATAAACAAATTAAGGGAAAGAGAGGATACTTGAGCACACAGAATGCTGAAGGCCTATGGTGGAAGGTGCTGGAATTGGAAGATCATCATTTTGCAACCATCACAGTAAAGATCAAATAAGGCAAGAATGATTAACAGATGCCAAATCAAAGAGGAAATCGTGAGGACTGGCAGGATACTAGCATGGTGTTAAAAGTTTCTTCCCACAGGTTGTTTACTAACTGCAAGGGATTAAAAACAAAAATAAAAAGTAACTACAGATAGGAGAAATTGGGCAAGAATTTGACCACATGATCAAAATAAACATCACCAATACATACCATTTGCTCCAGATACCACAGTATAAAGACATCATCACCTACACAGAGGCCCTGAGAATGAATAACCTGAATCTAATCACAAGGCTTCTTATACGAACAGTGCAAACAGAGGAAAACAACAGAATGGGAAAGACCAGAGACCTCTTCAAGAAAACTGGAGATACCAAGGAAATATGTCATGCAAGGACAGGTACAATAAAGGACAGAAACGGTAGGAACCTAACAGAAGCAAAAGAGATTAAGAAGAGATGGCAAGAATACACAGAATACAAAAAAGGTCTTAATGGCCCAGATAACTTATGATGGTGTGATCACTCATCTAGAGTCAGATGTCCTGAACTGTGAAGTCAAGTGGACCTCAGGAAGGAAGTTCCAGCTGAGCTATTTCAAACCCAAAGGGATGATGCTGTTAAAGTGCTGCACTTAATATGCCAACAAATTTGGAGAACTCAGCAGTGGCCACAGGACTGGAAAAGGTCAGTTTTCACTCCAATCCCAAAGACGGGCATTGCCAAAAAATGTTCAAACTACCAAACAATTGCATTCATTTCACATGCCAGCAAGGCAATGCTCAAAATCCTTCAACTTAGGCTTCAGCAGTACATGAGCCAAGAATTTCCAGATGTACAAGCTAGATTTAGAAAAGGCAGAGGAACCAGAGATCAAATTACCAACATCCAGTGGATCACAGAGAAAGCAAGGAAACTTCAGAAAAACATGTTTCACTGACTACGCAAAAGCCTTTGACTGTGTGGATCACAACAAACTGCCGAAACATTCTTCAAGAGATACCAGACCACCTTACCTGTGTCCTGAGAAACCTGTACGCAGGTCAAGAAAAAAGTTAGAATCAGACATGAAATAGCAGACTGGTTCAAAATTGGGAAAGGAGTACATCAAGATTGTATATTGTCACCATGAGTATTTAATTTCTATGCAAAGTACATCATGCGAAGTGCTGGGCTGAATGAACTACAAGGTGGAATCAAGATTGCTGGGAGAAATATCAACAACCTCAGATATGCAGATGATACAATTCTAATGGCAGAAAGTGAAGAGGAACTAAAGAGCCTCTTCATGAGGGTGAAAAAAGAGAGTGAAAAAAACTGTCTTAAAAACTCAACACTCAAAAAGCTAAGATCACGGCACCCAATCCCAACACCTCATGGCAAACAGGTGGGGAAAAAGTGGAACCAGTGACAGATTTTCTTTTCTTGGGCTCTAAAATCACTGTGGACAGTAACTGCAGTCATGAAATTAAAAGATGTTTGCTCCTTGGAAGAAAAGCTATGACAAACCTAGACAATACATAAAAAAGCAAATATCACTTTGCCAACAAAGGTGCGTATAGTTAAAGCTATGGTTTTTCCAGTAGCCATATAAGGATGTGACAGCTGGACCATAAAGAAGGCTGCGCACTGAAGAACTGATGCTTCTGAACTGTGGTGCTGTCCCTTGCACAGTAAGAAGATCAAACCAGTTTTTCCAGTAGCCATATAAGGATGTGAGAGCTGGACCATAAAGAAGGCTGCGCACTGAAGAACTGATGCTTCTGAACTGTGGTGCTGTCCCTTGCACAGTAAGAAGATCAAACCAGTCAATCCTAAAGGAAAAACCAACCCTGAATATTCACTGGAAGGACTGATGCTGAAGCTGAAGCTCCGATACTTTGGCCACATGATGGGAAGAGCCAAATCACTAGTAAAGACCCTGTTTCTGGAAAGATTGAAGAAAACAGGAGAAGGGGGCAGCAGAAGATGAGACGGTTGGATGGCATCACTAACACAATGGACACGAGTTTCAGCAGACTCCGGTTGATGGTGAAGGACAGGGAAGCCTGGTGTGCTGCAGTCCATGGGGTCGAGAAGAGTTGGACACAACTTAGTGACTGAACAACAACAATAATCACAAAGATCAGCAGATACATCCGAAATGAGAACCATTCTACTGAAAAGGAAGGAGGTGAGCTTGAGCTCGCACACACATTGCAGGTAAAAGCTGATGAAAACTGAAGATGATCTAAGTCTAGCCAACAGTAATGCACCAGTGTCAACTCCTGATTCCGATACAGCACTACAGTCATGTAAAATGTCACTACTGAGGGAAGCTGGACAAAGGGGTCTTTGTTATGCTTACAAATTATTGTGAGTCTATTATTCTAGATAGAGAGGCGCGCTTTTTAAATAATCATTTAATCTTGGGAAAATGGAAAAATAAAATAAAAATTTAAGGGGCAAGAGATTCTTAAAAACATGCCAATGTTATAATGACAAAGAAAGGCTATGAAAATGCTTCAGATTAAATGAAGCTGAAGAGACAACTAAATGCAATACCTGATCCTAGACTGGGTCCTGTCGGGCAGCAGGAAAAAGGCTGTAGAAGGCATTACCGGATCAGATACAAAATGAGGATAAAAAGTGCAGATTATTGTATCAATGTTAAATTCACTGCAGGTGGTAATTACAACACACAGCTACATAAGAATTATGTAAGAGACTACCTGGGATTTAGGAAATACACACTAAACACTTGGGGAAAGGGGCCGTGGGGGGCGGGGAGGGGCGATGACAGCTGGGGAGCAATAAAGCAACTGGAAAAAACATGAAACTGAAAAAAACAGGTGAATCCGAGTGAAGGATTTATGGGTGTTTTATGTACTTTTTTTTACTTCTGCAAGTTTTTTAAGTTTTTTAATTTGAAGTTATTTTTAAATACTAGAAAAAGTTAGAAAGAAAAACTATTTACAACTAAATGGAGGTTGTTTACCAACTGAACTATGTCCCTCACGACCCGCCTAAATTCCTGAGTTGAAGCCCTAACACCTAGTACCTTAGAATGTGACCATTTGAAGAAGGGCCTTTACTCTTTGCGAACCCATGGACTGTGGCCCGCCAGGCTCCTCCATCCATGGGCAAGAATACTGAAGTGGACTGCCATTTCCTTCTCCCGGGGATAGTCCTGACCCAGGATCAAACCTGTGTCTCCTGCATTGGCAGGCAGATTCTTTACTGCCTGAGCTGCCAGGGAAGCCCTTTGAAGAGGTAATGAAGGTTAAATGAGGTCGTGAAGGTGGGACTCTAATCCATTTGACTGGTGTCCATGTGCTCACCTCAAGGCACACACACTAGAGTCCTCACGAGAGGAATGACCACCAGGGGACGTCCACCTGCAACTACTCAAGGATGGGGTCCTCAGGAGAAATCAACCCTGCCGGCACCTTAGTCCTGGACTTCCAGGCTCTGAGGGAACTTTCCAGAACTGGGGAAAATAAATTTTTTAAGCTACCCAGTCTGGAGTATTTTTGTCATATTACCCCTAGCAAACTAATATAAAGGTAAAAATAGGATTTTTTTTTCCTCGAAACTTTTAAAATGGTGTTCTGGAAGAGGTGTTACTGGGTGGTATTTTGTGCAAGTTGCCTTTACCATCACCAAGCCCTTCTTTACTACTCAGATCTCCGCTAAATGTCACCTTCTGGGGAGGCCTTCATTGCATCCGCCAGCTCTTGCCATCCACTTACCAGTCACAGCGCTTCATCACAGTGCCTGTCACTAACCAAACTAACTTTCTTACTCCTTTGCCTTTGTATCCTCTTGCCCCGCCCACACTTGGAATGCAAGTTCCATGAATGCAGAAACTCTCAGTCTTGTTCACAGCCGCACTTCCAACATCTACACAACAGTAACACACATACACAACACACATAACAGGCACTCAGATGCTTGTCAAGTGAATGAATGAAAGATCTCCAGCAAAAAATGCTCTGCCCATACATGTCACCATAGACAGAATATACACACTTCTCTCAAACCAGCAGCAGGAACAATGGATGTGCATCAAGATGCAGAAAAGTAACACTGGAACCCAAAGACCCTAAATCACATCTTAGGAGCCACCAGAGGGGAACCCACCCACCTCTTTCAAAGAAATGAAAAGGGCCTATCTTCAACCAAAATAACGTATAGCTCTACAGTCTGGAAAAACAAATGTGGAGTGAGAATTGTGTTAAACTTTACAAAACTATAAAGCACACAGAAAGGTAAATATAAATCCTTCATCAATCCCTGAAATTTAAAAACTATAACAAACTTCTAGTTATAAGACAACTATGTCATGGAGATGCACAGCAAAGTGACTAGAGTGGCCAACAGAGTAGACTTCAAAAGTTCTCATCCGCAAGAAAAAAAAATTTTGTAACTACGCACGCATAGCAGCAGATGTGATGATCATTTCCCAATATATACAAACACCAAATCAAAATGCTGTACATCTAAAACTAATGTTATATGTCAATCATAACTGAAAAAGTTATAAATGATCCCCTACAGCTAAAAAGTCGGAGAAGGCAATGGCACCCCACTCCAGTACTCTTGCCTGGAAAATCCCATGGATGGAGAAGCCTGGTAGGCTGCGGTCCATGGGGTCGTGAAGAGTCAGACACGACTGAGCGACTTCACTTTCACTTTTCACTTTCACACACTGGAGAAGGAAATGGCAACCCACTCCAGTGTTCTTGCCTGGAGAATCCCAGGGACTGGGGAGCCTGATGGGCTGCCGTCTACAGGGTCGCACAGAGTCGGACACGACTGAAGCGACTTAGCAGCAGCAGCAGAGCTAAAAAGTGATCCCATCTCTAAGCTGGAGGAGTCCTACTTACAGAACTTAATATGTAAAAATGGCTCAAGAAAAATTTAGGTCAAGCTGGGACTTTGGTGCATGACATTTCTAGCATTCACAACCCGGAATCCACGCCATCTCATCAGAAACACCATCCCTGAGTATTTCCCTGGCACGCAGATTAGTGGGCTTAACACCAACAGAGGCACAACCCTGGGCAACAAAATCATTCATCTGCCTAGATGAAAAATACTTCATTGTCACTTTTCCTAAAAACCTAAAATACAACTCAGTTTATAGTATCTTTGTAGGAAACCTACAGGTGAGAAAAAAAAATTAAAGCCAACCTTTGCAAAATTTACAAAACATGGCACTGAGTTCATATGGTATTCCTTAGGATGCCACCCTCAGCCCACTTCTCCTCCCAGAAATTCATACATAGCCTAGAAGCCTGACCAAGTTTCACGTGGTCTGTGCATGTAAATAGTAGTACGAATGCATGGTACCTTTTTCCAAGGAAGGACGTGACTGGTTTCATCAGTCTCTAAGGGGAGCCAAGAGCACTGAAGAATCACTTCGCAAACTCTCTCTGACTACAAATGCATTCCCTTGGCTACAGTAACTATTTCCTAGTAACTATCAAAGCTCTATCTCTGTCCCAAATTTCTGTGCACCATACCTTTGTAACCAACTGCCTGTCACACATCTTCTCCTGGATATCCCCCGACACCTTCAACTCAGCATCTAATACAGACCTCAGCATTTTCCCACCCCCAATCTGTTCCTCCTCGTGTGTCTCCTAGCTCAGCGACCAGTATCCCCCCCCCCGCCCCCAACTCGATTTCCCAAGCCAGGGGAAGAGAAGTGTTCTTGAACAGACTAGATCTGGCTCTCTTCATGTTCTGCAGACACACTTCTAACCTTCTGAGATGGTAAGGAGAATGCATGGTACCTTCGGGCGTCCCTGGCAGCTCAGCTGGTAAAGAGTCTGCCTGCAATGCAGGAGACCCCAGTTCGATTCCTGGGTCAGGAAGAGCCCCTGGAGGAGGGCGTGGAAACTCACTCCAGTATTCTTGGGCTTCCCTGGCGGCTCAGACAGGAAGGAATCTGTCTGCAATGTGGGAGACCTGGATTCCATCCCTGGTTGGGAAGAGCCCCTGGGAGGAGGACACGATAACCCACTCCACCCACACAACCTTTAGCATGCATGCATGCACACTCAAAGCACCTTTGGGTTCACCGGTGGCCCAGTGGTAAATGCAATGCAGGAGTTCCGGGTTTGATTCCTGGGTCAGGAAGATCCCCTGGAAGAGGAAGTGGCACCCTACTCCAGTATTTCTTACCCGGGAAAGCCATGGACAGAGAAGCCTGGCAGGCTACAGTCCCTGGGGTCGCAAAGAGTCGACCACAACTCAGCATCTGAGCAGTAATTACCTTACAGGTCTCAGGTTAAATATCACCCTACCAATAAAGATGCCTTTCCTGATTCTGCCTCTCTACCCATCACCACCAGAGACTCATTTAAGTATTCATATGTTCCTATAACAGTGCCCTAAGCGTATCACTACCACAGCAAATGACAGTGCACTGAAATCACTTTTCAATATCATATCAATCTCTCCATTTAAAGTGTAAGCACCTCGAAAACAGAAACTTAATTATTCATGTCTCTCACTTAAGACAGTGCCTGACCCATACAGAAGAATTCAAAGATTTCTTAAACATCTGAATAAGCGGACCACTCTGCATTTTCTAGGTACTTAAAACACATCCAATGAAATAATGCATCTGTCTGAAGAGTAGGTGGATTTACCAAAAAGTTAATTTTCTGTATTCAATAAATTCAATAAATTTATTATAACTAAAATATAAATTATAATTATAAATTATAAATAAATGTATTCAATAAATTCAATAAAAAATAAATGCACATCCCCGCCTTAGCAAAGTTCACCAACTCAAATACCTGCTGAAAAGATATCCATTGCTCGCTTCAATTCTCCTCTTGTTCTCTGATTGCTGTTTAAGTCTACAAGTGGAGTTGAAGGATCTCTCATATATTCTAACTCTGTGGCAAACAATCCGCCATCGACAAAACGTTCCGGAGCAATGTAACAAGTTCTCCTCCGTGAAGTGTCGAAAAAATAATTGAAATCTGCTGGGTTGTCCTCTGGAAGGTAAGTGGGCTTGAAACTGGCAAAATCCGTTAGAAGAACCCAATTCCAACTGGTGACCATCACATTCTCCGTCTTGATGTCCCCGTGGCGGACGCCGGATCTGTGCGCTTGGTCCACAGCCGTGAGGATCTGGAAGGCGATCCAGCGCTTCTCGACGTTATTCAAGAAGGGGCGGGTGCTGATGCGGTCGTACAGGTTGTCTCGCACGTACTGCCGGAAGAGCATGGCTGCCTTCTCGGAAGCTTTTTCGGCAGCTTTCTGGAAAGGCAGGCAGTTCTGGGCAGAATGAAGCCTGATTTTCAGTTCCTCCAGCTCTTGTTTATAGCTGGTGAGAGGCAACGTGGGATCCTGAATTGCAAAGACCTTCACAACCACCAGGCCTTCTCGGTGTTTCGCTCGGGCAACTTTAAAGAACCGAGTACTCCCCAGACTCTTATCATATTCAAAGTCATGGATGTCTGAGAAATAACTCTCCACAGAAAGAATCTGGGAGGGAGCAATGCCAGCGAGCTGGTTTCCCATGATGGCAGCAAGCACCTCCGAGACAGCAAGTTAGGGTACAACACTTAATTTTCTGAAATAAAGAAAGAAGAAAAGGAAAAGAGAAAAAAAAAGAACCAATGAAACATAATTTTTTATGTGGCATCCTTCTACAAGGTAGATGTATCATATTCCTCTTCCACCCCACAGGACTGTACTTAACTTCTTGGCAGCCTCTAAATTTCGGACATATTTATCTTAAAAGATCTTGTTATTTTGTCATCCTTTCCAGGAGCTTACAGGAAAGCAGACCCCATCAATATTAAGTTGAAATATCAGAAAGTGTATTTTCTGATACTGATACTTAAAATTCAGTGAGTCTTTACTAAGTGTTCAGTATTGTGCTTGGGGCTTAAAGAGTCACCAAAGTGCTATATGACACAGTTATTCGTCCAAGAAGAGTCTGCAGTCTTGAATAGGAAACCCAAGCACATCTTAAATCTAACTAAGAATCGCCAAATACAAACAGGTTAGGCTTGGCTTCCCCGGTGGCTCAGATGGTAAAGAAACTGCCTCCAAAGCAGGAGACCTGGGTTCAATCCCTGGGCGGGGAAGATCCCCTGGAGAAGGAAATGGCAACCCACTCCAGTGCTCTTGCTTGGAAAATACCATGGACAGAGGAGCCTGGTAGGCTACACAGTCCACAGAATCGCAGAGTCGCACAAGACTGAGTGACTTTAAAAAAAAACCCAAACCATCACCATATCCTGGACCCATCCAGCCTTAACTCCAGCGCGCCTTCCCACTCAGCTAACTGAAGGCAGAAGAGCTGTTTGGTTTACAACAACAACAAGGAAGAACCCCTGGCAGAGATGTTAAAGAAAAGTAAATCAATACACCCTATTTGCCAAAACACAGCCCAAGGTTCTCCTAGTTCGGATCTTGCAGGAAATCAAAATACCCTCCTTGCCAATTACAGCCCAAGGTTCTCCTAGCTCAGATCTTGCAGGAAATCAAAATACCCTCCTTGCCAATTACAGCCCAAGGTTCTCCTAGCTCAGATCTTGCAGAAAATGAAGACACACAAGCACGCACGGATGTGCACACATGCAAACCTTTACCCCAGGGCAGTGGGAAGTGTCACAAGCCGACGGCTCGCTGCCTCACGAGGAGCTCACGGCTGGTCCCGTCGGGGTCTGGGCGGCAAAAGGACCCAGCAGCCGGGCGAAGCCCCCTCAGAGGGAGGGCGGGGGAGCCGCGGAAGGCGTCCGGGACCCCGGCGGCCTGCACGGGGAGCTCTCGGGGCCGAGGCTGACGAGAGCCCAGCGCCCGAGGAGCGGGCCCGCCAGCCCCGTCGCCTCAGAGGCCACTTGCTCCCGGGCCTCGCCGTCCTTTCGCGCGGGCCTGAACCGTCAAGGTCCTGTGACTCCGCCAGGGCCTCCCCGCACCAGCGGGAGACGGAGCCCGGAGGACGGGCCGGCTTCCAAGGCCCGGGGAAACGCCGCTCCTCCCACGACGGCCCGGCGACGCCTCGCGGGCAGAGATCCCGGGAGAAGCCGCCGGCGGGCCCCACTTCCTGTGGCGGAGAGGAAGTGACGTCAGAGCGAGGCTGGAGGAGGAGGAGCGCGGGGGCGTGGCTGGTTGCTAGGAAACCTGGGGGCGTGGCCTGGTCCCAGGATCTTGGAGGAAGAAAACAGGAGGATGTCCCTGGTGCCTCAGCTGGTAAAGAAGCCACCTGCGGTGCGGGAGACCTGGGTTCCATCCCTGGGTTGGGAAGATCCCCTGGAAAAGGGAACAGCTACCCACTCCAGGATTCTTGCCTGGAGAATCCCATGGACAGAGAGGAGCCTGGTGGCCTGTGGGTAATTCTAGGTTTCTGACCTGGAGAATTCCACGGACTGTATAGTCCATGGGGTCCCAAAGAGTTAGACACCACTGAGCGACTAAGCTCACGTGTCATGCCACAGTTTGGGGATTTATTAAAACACACTCTTATTTAATTGATATAACTCCTTAGATTATTATCCAAATCATAATCGAGAAGCAGTTGCCCTTGTTTTTGTATTCTTTGTATTTTTAAATTTATGTATTTGGTAGGTTGGGCTTTCCTGGTGGCCCAGTGGTAAAGAATCCACTTGCCAATGCAGGAGATGTAGGTTCCATCTCTGGGTCAGGGAGATTCCCCTGGAGAAGGAAATGGCAAGCCCACTCCAGTGTTCTTGCCTGGGAAAGTCCTTAGGCAGAGGAGCCCGGTGGGCTGAAGTCTGTGGGATTGCAAAAGAGTCAGATAGGACTAAGCGACTAAAATAGCAAACAGCAACAATAATTTGATAGGTTAGTCTTCACCTGTTGACTTCCAGACCTTATATATATATATATATATATATATATATATATATATATATGCTGTTTTCCTTGTAATTGTTATAATTACCATCCTGGTTATATTGTTAGATAACAAATATTTGTATGCTTACTGCCTGCTGGTCCTTGAAAATAGGGATATATCTATATATAAAACAGGGGCTCTGTTTTCTAGTATGGGATAATCTGCAGTTAGGTAAGAGCAGTTATGCCACTTGTGCTTTGAGACCATCAAAGGGACAAATGGCTAACTGAACCCAATCGTGGTGTTGGGGGTCCTTAAAGTGTATTTTGATGAGATTTTATTTATGCATGTTGTTCTCATAATATTGTTTTCTCTCATTCTTGGTGGACAAGAGCCATACATAGCCTGAGTAAAATATCCTTTTAGAGGAGCAAAAGCTACAAGTATATTTTTGGCGAATTGGTGTTACATGGGCGTATTTAATTTGGGTGTATGTTCTGGGCTTCCCTTGTGGCTCAGCTGGTAAAGAATTCTCCTGCAATGTGGGAGACCTGGGTTCGATCCCTTGGTTGGGAAGATCCCTTGGAGAAGGGAACAGCTACCCACTCCAGTATTCTGGCCTGGAGAATTCCATGGACTATACAGTCCATGGAGTTGCAGAGTTGGACACGACTGAGTGACTTTCACTCACTTATTCCCCATCTAGGTCTTATTCCACATCTAAGTCTTATTCCCCATCTAGGTCTTACACAGTCCCTAAACTCTGAGGCTTTCTGACATCCCACAGAGCCTGTTCAAATGGCCTTCACCCAAGTACACCAGAGCAGAGTCCTTTAAGAGAATTCACAGGCTTATTTAGGAAAGTTAATATATCCTAAGTTGAAGTTTTTAAGAGCTTTATAGAGATATAATTTACAGACTATAAATTAACCTAATTAAAATGCACAAATCACTGGGTTTTTTGTATATTTTCAGAGTTGTGCAATCATCCCTATAATCTAACTTTAGAATATTTTCCTGACCCCCAAAATGAAACCATGTAACCATTAACAGTCACTCCTCATTCTGCCCATTGCTCCTCCCCTTCAGCAACTGCTAATCTATTAATACTTTCTGTTTCTTACCTATTCTGGACATTTCCTATAAATGGTATACAGCATGTGGGTCTTTGTGACTGAATTCTTTTACTTCACAGGTTTCTGAGGATTATCCCTGTTGGAGTTGTATTTCATTTCCTTTTACTACTCAATATTCTACTGTATGAATATATCACATGAACTGATAAACATCTGGGTAGTTTCTACTTTTTTGGTTCTTACAAATAATGCTGCTATGAACATTTGTGCATAAGGCTTTTTGTGCTCCTATGTTTTCACTTCTCTTGAGTAAACACCTAGGAGTGTGGAGTCACACGGTAACTCTATGTTTAAGGAAATTCAGTTCCGTCACTCAGTCATATCCAGCTCTTTGTGACCCCATGAACCACAGCATGACAGGCCTCCCTGTCCATCACCAACTCCTGGAGTTTACTCAAACTTATGTCCATTGAGTCGGTGATGCCATCCAACCATCTCATTCTCTGTCATTCCCTTCTCCTCCAGCCCTCAATCTTTCCCAGCATCAGGGTCTTTTCAAATGTGTCAGCTCTTCACATCAGGTGGCCAAAGGATTGGAGTTTCAGCTTCAACATCAGTCCTTCCAATGAACACCCAGGACTGATTTCCTTTAGGATGGACTGGTTGGATCTCCTTGCAGTCCAAGGGACTCTCAAGAGTCTTCTCCAACACTACAGTCCAAAAGCATCAATTCTTCAGCACTCAACCTTCTTTATAATTCAGTTCTTACATCCATACATGACTACTGGAAAAACCATAGCCTTGACTAGACGGACCTTTGTGGACAAAGTAATGTCTCTGCTTTTTAATATGCTGTCTAGGTGGGTCATAACTTTCTTCCCAAGGAGTAAGCATCTTTTAATTTCATGGCTGCAATCACCATCTGCAGTGGCTATACTCTAGAAACTACACTTTCCAGCACCCCCCCCATCTCTTGTGTGTAAGTGGGGCCATTTGAGTAGCGTTGTGAGAAGTACAATGACACCCCACTCCAGTGCTCTTACCTGGAGAATCCCATGGACGGAGGAGCCTGGTGGGCTGCAGTCCATGGGGTCTCGAAGAGTCGGACATGACTGAATCCACTTAGCAGCAGCAGCAGCAGCAGTGAGAAGTACAAGTAGAAATTACGTTTCACTTCTAGGTCAAGACAGTTAAGAGAAGAAGGATCTTCTGCACTCTCTCCTTCCTTCAGCCTAGATGAACTTCAAGGCCTTGGGTAATGCCAGAGTCATAAAATTGTAGAAGCCTGTGTCCCTGAGTTACCACCTGCAGAAAGACCCCTGTTAAATGGCAATACCTGCACAGGACGTGTACATGAACGGAAGCAAATAGCCATGTACAAAGCCAGTGAAATGCTGCTGTTTCCCTTCGCACACACACATACCTTCCTGACCTCTTCTTGTTCGTACCTTGCCCAGGCTGCTTGTGCCTCCCCAGTGCAACCTTCCAGGAGGTGTCCACGTGGACTCTGCAAGCCCTGCCTCCTAAGGGAAAGGAGTAAAGAGAATCACCAATGAAACTGACACCTTGCCGTTAATAGTGAAACTTTCTGGTACTTCACTGGAGGTGCTGGGATTAGGAATCCACCTTCCAATGCAGAGGATGCAGGTCTGATTCCTGGTGTGGATCCCACATGCTGTGGGGATAATAAACCCACATGCCACAGCTATTCAGCCTTCACACTCTAGAAAACAAGGGCCACAAGGAAGATCCCACAGGCCACAGCTAAGACCTGAAGCAGCCAAATAAATAAATATTTTTTAAAAAAATATTAAGTCTTTTCTCTTTTTGTAGACTGTTGCCAACTAATGTAAAAGGAATCAGTTCAGTTCAGTCACTTAGTCGTGTCCAACTCTGTGACCCCATGGACTGCAGCACGCCAGGCTTCCCCATCCATCACCAACCCCCAGAGCTTGCTCAAACTCATGTCCATCTAGTTGGCGATGCCATCTAACCATCTCATCCTCTGTCATCTCCTTCTCCTCCTGCCCCCAATCCCTCCCAGCATCAGGGTCTTTTCCAATGAGTCGGCTCTTCTCATGAGGTGACCAAAGTATTGGAGTTTCAGCTTCAGCATCAGTCCTTCCAATGAATATTCAGGACTGATTTCCTTTAGGATGGACTGGTTGGATCTCCTTGCAGTCCAAGGGACTCTCAAGAGCCTTCTCCAACACCACAGTTCAAAAGCATCAATTCTTCGGCACTCAACTTTCTTTATAGTCCAACTCTCACATCCATACATGACTACTGCAAAAACCATAGCCTTGACTAGACTGACCTTTGTTGGCAAAGAAATGGCTCTGCTTTTTAATATGCTGTATAGGTTGGTCATAACTAAATTTGTAAACTGAATTATAATAATTGGTTCCCACAAGGAGCATCAATGGATTCTAAAACCATTTGTTGAAAGGCTCTGGGGCAGCAAGATAGACTTATGGTGCCCAAAGAATACCTGCAGGTTACTTTTTACATTAGAAAGAAAGAGGGGAATGAATCTTTCACAGTGGAAAACTCTGGTAGTAAATCTTTTATCGATGTGTTCAAACTTGACATCACTAATAGCACACAGTGTCAGCCAACAAAGCATTCTTACCAAGAATATTTAACCTGAATCTAATCCAGCCCGTAGACCTCACTGTCCAATACAGTAGTCACTAAACACATTTGATACACTTGAAATGTGACTTGACGTGTAATGTGACTACTCCATATTGAGATGTGCTCTAAGCGTGAAACACACACAGCATTTAAAGACCCCAATACCAAAAAACAAAATTTTAAGTCTCATGGATACCTTTATTTAGTATTTCTTATATTATTTATGTATATATATGTATATTTGTATTTATATATATATTTTTATATATTATATTTATTATATTTTGAAGTCATATTTTAGAAATAATGGATTAAATAAAAATCTTGTATATTGTATCAAAATTAATTTAATCTTTCTTAACTTTTCAAAATGTGGCTACCAGAAATACCTTCACAAGTAAGGCAAAGACAAATATCATATATCACTTATATATAGAATCTAAAATATGACATGAATGAGCTTATTTACAAAGCAGAAACAGACTCACAGACATGGAAAACAAATTTATGGTTACCAAAGCAGAAAGGGAGGGATAAATTAGGAGTTTGAGATT